TCGGCCGCCCGCCCGTCTTCTCCACTGCGCGTTCAAAGTCGGTCCTGTATTACGGGAGACAAGGAGCGACGCCAGTCAGCGACAGCGTAGAATGATTTCGTTCCCTGGAGCGCCAGGCGGTATCGCCAGGGAAGTGCCAAGTGACACGGCTTCACTCTAAGGCGCCTGTCGTGACGGGGACTTCGAGTTTAGGCTCCTTTTGACCCCAGGCTCTTAAATCCTTTCAAAACCTAAGAAGTGAAGCCGTGTCAATCTAAGCGTCGGTCGATGATTGTCGCTGAAAATGACGGGAAGGCAGGCAATGCTTTCCTTGGTAGGAAAGTACATTGAAGTGAAGACCGACTAAAATGGCGCGAAAATGGCTGCGCTCTCTCTACCCTTTCGTTCATCGTGGGCACGTTGCCGCCCAGCAGGTAGGCCACCCATTTGACGGGGCTGTGACCGCAGCAACCAGCATCAAGCAGGGGCAGCAGGGGCGTGGTAGGGCGTGTGTGACGGGGGATTGACTGCAGGAAAACGGGGACGAGTCTATTTACAAATGATTTATTGTCAGTTTGCGGAGGCTATGTACATGTCCAAGGTGTATAGCTGGGTGAGCAAACGCCTGTGAAGTGGTAAAAATTGCACACCCTAGTGACTCAAGTACGTACAACCGGCATGCTGCTTCTATCCAGATCAGGGTAAAGCAAACTACTCCATGGTTTTTACGTCTCTCTTCTCCGAGAAGGTAGAAATTGACGAGCTTGCTTTATGTTTTCTTTACGTTTAAAGCCAATAAATAGATTTAAATACATAGTTACGCGATGACATGCCATAATGCTTAATCGGGTCTGGCCATGAGATTCTGTATTATGAGACATATAAAACTATTCATGGTATTCCTGAGACATTTATTCTATTTGGTACTCATAATTAACAATGTTCAAATTCTATCCTGCCACACCGTCTGCCTGCTTCTTGGCCTTATCCTTCACTGAAGTTCCAATACTTAAATCAGTCACACTGATTTGGCTCTCTCAATTATTCTATGACACAAAAATTTGTAATTTACTTTTTGACTTCTTATCATCTGGGATGTACTTCTCACAAAAAAGGAAAGAAGACGTAAGATTCTCACTACCTTTTTAACAATTCAGATTGCTTAGGTCAGTTATTTTTTTTAAATGTTTTTTTTTTAAAGTAAGGCTATTGTTTTAGTTTGCTGTCAACCCCACAGGAGAAAGAAACTGCCTTAGTATCAATTAAAATTTTTAGATATATGAGGATGAGACAAACCTCATGCTCTAAATTTCAAATTTAGTCTATGGCAAAGCATTCTAAGAGAGTCTAGCCTTTGTTTGAACCTATTATAGTCATAATATTTAAAATACTTGGCGGAAATTATTTCACCTCAAAACAGATACATGCCAAATCGTTTGACGCAAGCACATCTGACCATATATTTGACATAAAGTCACGAGATCCACAATGAACAAATAATTATATTTCATTTAACAAGTCAACAAGATTTGAAAAATAAAAAAAAAGTATTAGAAAGGGAATTCTGAAACAATCTATTAAAAAATTATTGTATAATTAAAAGGAACTTTGAAAGTTCAGCCGCTAACGATGCCGCAACTAGTGGAATAAGTATCAATTGAAGAATAAATATGGCACGGATTTTGAAATCATATACCTCTGTTGTCAGAGATATGACACATCATTACATTCAATAGAGGTTCTGTTTTCACAGATGTCCAAACAACATCTCTACTGTAAAAATCACACTACAGTGATGACAACGAAATAAAATTAGATACAATAATATTTATCAGCTATGACTTCGGTGACATAATTCTTACTTACAGCAAACATTGCACTTTGAATGGAGAAACTTAAAAACAAACATATAATGGCATTAAAGAAAAAATAGCTTTACCTACTTCTCAGCCACCCATTTCCAAAACTATTTGAAACATGAACATATGAATTTATGCCTGACTAGCCTGAGTGTTAGAATGACAAACATACAAACAAAGTGCACCAAGAAAAGTTTTTACTTCATTATATATTTTTTGGTGCAACATACAACAATTGCATGCCCACCACGAAGTATGGTCATTCTCTACTACTGCATTCACTTAACAGTAGCCGCAATAAACGCAACAATTGGAAAACACTAGCCTTTTACAACACTAGGCCATGCGAGCACTTGCTGCTTTGTTCACTTAACGGACGCGGGCTGCGTGGGTGCTGCTAGCGTCGACTAGTGGCACCACGAGCCCCGTCCTCAGCTCAGCGGGGGCGGCAGCATCTGCAGAGCTCTGCGCGGGGCGAGCGGCTCGGCGGCGCCGCGGCGGACCAGGAGCCTCGCACCCCGGCGGGGTTGGTGTCCAGTGGAGTTGCGCAGCACTTTGGCTTGACTACGGGGTGCACTGGGTGGGGGCAGGCCCTCGGGCAGGCCCTCGGGCAGGCCCGAGCACCCAGCACAGCGCCTAGCGCGAGGGGGCGAGGCGAGGAGAGGCGAGCAGGGCTACATGCGCCTTTCACCGCGGTCTCAGGTGTTGTCCAGGGGGTCCTCGTTCACGCCCCCGAGAGAGGGCCCGGCGAGCGCCCTCTCCCGACTGCCGTGGCCCTTGTAGCCCTTCCCCTGGCGCTTGGGCTTGACCACGCAGCTGCAGCCCGACCGCAGCTTGATGTAGTCCAGCTTCCAGCCCGACGGGCCGTTGGGGAAGAAGGTGTTGCTCGTGGGGTCGTGCTCGTCCGCGCGCACGATGGCGTACTGCAGCGAGTACTTCTGCACGCACCGCGACTGGTTGCGCAGCTTGCGGTCGACGAAGAGGCACGGCCGGTCCAGCACGTCCTTGCGGCACGAGAACTCGTAGAAGCGCTGCGTCTCGTTGTACGGGTTGTTGCCCATGTACAGCTCGACGTACATGCCGTCCTCGTTGCGGCCCCCCTTGGGCTGCGTCACGTCCATGACGGACGGGCAGCAGTCCACCTCGCGGCCCTCCTCGCCGCCCTCCTTCCGCAGCAGCGCCTGCATGCCCCTCGGCGACGACCACTCTTCAAGCCTGCAAGCACAAGGCCAGGGTCAGCACAAAATGCGAGCTCAATAAGCCAAAAACGCCTGGAGAGGAGAGAGAAAAAGGAAATGAAAAATAAAGATTGCGAGTAACACATTGCGTGGTTCTCTCGGAGGCGCGTGCGCCACTGCAGGGCCGCGGGCGCGGCCGGACGCGCCGGTCTCTGCACGCCAAGAGCAGCTCTTAGAGCAGGTCTTAGAGCAACTCTTAGAGAGGGCACAATCAGTGCGCGAATTTATCCTAAGATACCTGCCTGTGAGCGTGCCTGGAATGCCTCAAGCTGCTCTCTCCACTACCCAACCGGGGACTCGCGCGAACCTCGGCGGCCAGGCAGAGCACCTGAAACAGAGGAGCGGGGCGTTTTAGAGAACGGCAGCGGGGGCGGACATGGCCTGGCTGAGACACTCGAACCGAGGAAGCATTAGAAAGGTGGTTAAAGTGAGTGACATTCAATCAGTGACGTGTGCGACATGAATGTAGACAGAGCATAGCATTTCCTTGACAAAAAGGGGGGGGGGGCACATCGTACAGAAGTCCACGCCTCGAACGATTTGGCAACCCACCCACACGCGTGCATGCGAGAGGCTCAGTCTCGGACTCGAAAGTGGGCGGGGTGCGTCACCGAGCGGAAGGTCCTTTTGGGACTTCCCTCGTCTAGCGCCGCTGCCTGCGAAGCGCTTGCTTAGTCCACTCCACTCCTTGTTCAAAGTGGCGTGGTGAACCCCACAACACAATCGGGGGTGTCTCGGCACCCCTCCGCCCTCCGTGACAGGCGTGTGACGGGCGATACAGCGATGCCTCCGTCACCGTCAGTCACGGCGCGAGGCGGGGCGGGGCGGGGCCAACTTGCCTTCTCCCGGGGAACAAAGCCGGCCCATTTCTCCCTTGTTGTCGATGCGCTCTTCACGGTGTGTGGGAGGTCCATCCTCCGCGGGCCCGCGTCCCGTCACGGGGATCTCGTCACACGGGGGACACGCGGGATGCGCGCGACGGAGGAAGGAGGAGGAGCGGGATCAGGTCCCGCTAACACCCGAACCACGACGGCGGCGGCCAAAGAAAGTTTATGGCTGTCCGTCCTCCTCCCCCCCCCTGCCGCCGTCCGCGGGGCGCGGGGCTGGACCGGGAGGCTGGGCGAGACAGATCACCGCGCCGGCCCGACACACATCACCCGCGCCTGGCCCAGGCCGAGGCCCGGGCCGCGCCACACCTCTTGCTCGCCCTGCTTGTCCACCGCGCGCGTGGTCGGGTCGGGTCGGGTTGCGTCCATTCGGAAGTGTGAGGTCCAGCTACAGCGTCCAGCCCAGACTCATACAACATCCAGTGAGCCGGCGCGGAGCAGCGTTGATATCGACTCTGTGTTTCTTCGATCTCTGCCCCCCCCCATTCATTCCCTCTCCCTGGATTCAACCTGGAATAGGCCTGTGCATGTCGCTTAGGCGCAGCGCAGGGTGATGGATGTAGCCCCACAGGGAGGAGCCTCTCTTATCTCGGACCATCTCACTCCTTCACCCCCAGGTTAAATACCGACCCGAGCGGCAGCAGCACCACCCGCCCGCCCAGCCCCGCTGGCACGGTGTAGAGAGATACGGTGGGGACACTGGGGTACCTGGGGAGGTCCCAGTTTTGGATCCATTATTAGTTACCTAGTACGCCGTCCGCCGCGCTGCTCGGCAACGCGTACCGGTGCTTCTCTCTCGCACAGTGACTACCTGTCTCTCTCGCACGC